GATTCTCAGTGCTGTGCTTTAACCCACTGTGCCACCAGGGAGGGCCGGAAATTTTATTTTTAAGTTAGAATAATAACAAGTACATCAACCTTGGTGCTGTGAAGCCCGCATTGGAACCCCAATTTAGCCAGGTCATCTTAACAAGTGATTTAATCTGACTTTGCTTCAATTCTCTTATCTGTAAAATGGAGGTAGTATTTATTTAGTATTTACTGTTGGTAGGGACTATTATTAGTACTGTTGAAGCTATAAGAACATGGTCTATGTTCTTTTAGTGGCCATATATCTTGGGAAATTTGGCACATTTGGTTTCTAGCAAATGTGGGAAGGAATTTGAGCAGATTCTTGACTCCTCTGTGTGGCACAGAGCCGTGGAGTGAGCAGAGTAGAGGGTTCAAAGCTTGTTTGAAGGCCTCCAAAAAACAAATCGACCTCATTCTTTGTGGTCTTGTACTTGTGGCTCTTCAATCTTGGGACTAAGAGACTCTCTGAGATTGTCTCTCCTTGAGCTTGGTAGCACGAGATCTCTACCACAAAAGATCCCTGTCTGCTTTGCTGTCCCCAGCGGCATCTGGGGTTTGCAAGGAGATGCTGCCCAGCTCCAGAGTCCAGTGACTCTGCATGGTTTAGGTTCTTGCCTTCTCTCTGGAACAGAAACCAGGACTTGGACCATGCCAGAGGCGACCAGCCCCCCACCATCTCCAAGAACATTCCACACATCTTCAGCAGCCATTGGGAACCAGCTGTATGTCTTTGGGGGTGGAGAGAGAGGCGCCCAGCCTGTGCAGGACGTGAAACTGCATGTGTTTGATGCAAGTATGAGCTGGTGGACACCTTGGGCTTGTCACTCATCAGGTCAGGTACCTGGGCTGCAGCTTACCTGGTGTAGGAAGCAGAGATTGTAAACACATTCTGGGTCTTATTTTTGCCAGAGTAAGGGTAAACCTTAGTAGTTGAAAGCATGGATTTAGAAACCACACCGCCTGAACTCAGGAGCAGATCTGAGACAAACTTTCTTTTTTACTTATTTATTAAGATCATTGTTTTACAATATTGTATCTATCTTAGGAGTATAGAGACACATTTCTGAAAATATATATTATCATACTGTGCCTACACCCAAAGCCCCCGAAATCCTCTAC